GATTAGTTTTATTATATTCTTACAATCAAGTTTTTATAGCAGTGTAATTGCGATACATTAATACTGTGTAGACTCACCAACTTCTGTATCGCATATAAGGAAGCGTGAAACAAGAAAAGTTCTTTAGTTAGTCTATTATAATATATTTATTATGTGAGCAAAGCACTTTTGTTAGTCCGCATTTTTAAGTCTATTCAGTATCTATATTTAATATCAAAAATGCTGAAGAGTTTTATCTGTTATGAAGTTGTACAATCGTACTACTCAAGAGAGATACTACTTCGAGATACAAATTAAGCAAAACATGTCGCTAAAACTGTGAGAATACTGGTGAAGACGTTTAAAAATTCAAACACAAGAATGAAATAAGGAATAATAAACAAGGAATAACAGATTTCAACCTACTAGAAACTAGATAACCAGACTACACGGTTTCTTTTCTACACGATTTCTCAGATTAAATCTATTATTTCTTGTTCCTTATTTCTTTCACTGTGTATAAGTTTAATAAGAGTAACTCAATATAAATCAATTGTGTTGTGTACGTTACATGAAGACGAATTCGATTATCCAATTAAAAACTATTTCTTTTATTTTTTTTTGTATAAAGTGTATACTCTACTCTTTCGTACGTATAAATAAAATTAAAAAAAGATTAAGGATAACGTTGAAATAATTAGTGTTTTCAAGGTTCTAGTCGATAGTTAATAATATATATATATACTCTATTGCCCATAATGCTTCTAAAAATGGTTCGCGAATATAATATTTAACTTTCATTCATTTGTATTTCGATTTGATTAAAATATATGTAAATTCTTAAATATGATGATTATCGCATATTACATATATTAATTTTTAAATAAATTGTTAAATTTAAAGAAAAATTATTTACCTCGTATATACAAAGACTGTCCCATTAACTATTCTGAGCGTCATATTTCCGTGGAGGAATGTTAGACCACTTCGGGCACTTGACAAGGTCGCAAAAGCATCCTTCGCGGACATGACATCATCCATTCGAAGAATTGGTGTACCCGGTAATAACATGGTCATTAACACGATACTATCGGCGACTTCTTTAGGCATGCGTTGCCTCAAGGAAAGCTGTTTGCCATTCACCTGCGATTGACATATAAACATATTAAAAAAATCAAAAACTAAAACAAAGTATCTTTAAGACCGTAATGTGAATATACAACTAAGAAATGAAAGCCTTATACGGTCTGGATTTTTAATACCTCAATAATTCGGTGTGAATTTTACACACACGCGCGCTCGCGCGCGCACACACACACACACACACACACAATTTAACTTGAAATTATACAATAAAGATTATAAACATCTTTAAAATTGTGATAAAATTAATCTTATTATTTCTAACTTACGTTCCACGCAGGCCATGATGTAACCGCAAGCCATTGTGATATGCTCCTACGCAGATCCGTCGCGTTTATGCTCGCATTGGCAGTAGTGAGAAAATGTGAACTCTGCGGTAGATCAATCGTTGTTTTATCGTTATAAACTTGCAAAATATCTGCACGAATATCATCTTGCAACGCAAATAATCTATAAATAACAGCATCACGTTAGTAAATATTGATGACATGTCTAATTACCAAATTAAGAACAAGCATACCCTTTGCCAGCGGTTTCATTACGAACGATCTCTTGCCATTTTGATAACACTGCAGCGTTTTCTGAACGATCGCGTGTATAAATGTGTACTAGGGATTGGTAATTGTTCGGTTCTACGGGAAGAATACTTCTGGATTCGTCGTGCAGATCCGGATCTTCCGTTAAATATTGCGTGTTTGCCAAACGAAAACCACTAATGCCTAATTTAAGCCAGTAAGTAAAGATGTCCTTCAAAATAAATAGGACATAAGTTATAAATCAAAGCATGGTGAATCAATCGATTAAAGTAGAATGCGAAAAAACTTACTCCAAATTCTGCTATCACTGCTGGGTTGTTATAATTCAAGTCAGGTTGCGATTTATTAAATTGATGAAGATAATATTGGCCCCTTTGTTCATTCCATTCCCACGCGGATTCACCATATATATTTAACTGCAAAAGCATATTTTAAGTTAATATGCGTTATTCTCTTTCTGTGTCAGAGAATTACTTGTCAAAGAGAAGCTTAACTAACCCAATTATTCGGAGGGCGCCATTCTTTTCCACTGTTAGAGCTGGTTATTCCATCAGCCCAGACATAATAGGACGTGAATGGATCCTGCCTTTTTACAGATTGTTTAAACCACGGATGATCAACGGAGGAATGGTTAGGATCCAACTCCAAGAAGATTTGTTGATCTTTTTCCTTTGCTATCTTAATGAGGTTGCTCAAATCACTGATGTTTCCTAATTCTGGTTTGATGGCTTTAAAATCTATGACCTCTCCTACCATGAAAAAATAAGAATATTAATATAATTAAGATTACAATTAATATATTTTAGAAAGATAAATATGTGTAACTTTTGAGTGTATACATACCGTTTGCGTTTTCCTTCACCAGAGATGAGAGAGAAATAGCTCTGATATGTTGGTTTTTCAAATCGCTCAGTGTACGCTCCAGTTCTGTCAAATCATTGTTAAAAACATCTGAGACATCTAGCTCAACAATTGCGCTTTCCTCCCACAGTTTTTTCGGTTCAGGAGCAGAACATTTTGGCGCCACTACAATGATGGCTATGGCACCAGCTAACATGGCTGCCCATATCAGCCAAAAGGTAATGAACAAGGCCCATCTCAATCTGACCCAGAACGGATCGTTTGCAAATTTCATCAATTCTTCTTTTCCCATTCCAGAGAGCACTGTCTTCACCATCTCAATATCGATTTTGGCGTCGCCATTCTCCGAGATAAATTTCACCTATCAAAGAAGCGTATGTATAATATTAAAATATCTCAAATAGAGAATAAAAAAAAATTATGATATAATTATGAATATATAAAAAAAAAATTTATAATATAATTATCAATATAACTGGTATATACTAACATGGTAACTGATTTTCAAAATATTAAAGAGCTGATTCTTAAAGTTTTATAAATATAACAAACAAAAATATGTGCAATAATAAATATTTAGATTGTTCGCGTTGTCTGAAATTTCTAAAAATTATTATCCTTAAAGTAAGAAAACTATAATAACTTATCGGATTAGATCTTGCGAATATCAGACACGTGTTCACGCAAAATATATTTATTGGTTGACGTTCGGTAACGGAATTTCTCAACTGTCGTTGTGTTTCGAGTATTCTCGAATATTTCGCATAGGCTGGATTGTTCGACTTTTCGATAAACCTTCAGCTGTCTTATTCTCTTACTCTCTTACACTTTTTTATCTAATAGATAAATTACCGCATAGTTTATTTGAAGATGGAACAACCGGCCCTTATTAGAGCACACAATCAACGGTTTGGCCATTTTCGGTTACGTGTGCGCTCCTTATTTTACGTTGTGTATCTATATTAGTGCTTTACATTTACACACATATAATTGGTGCTTTCCAGCAAGAATACAGTCACACAGTATAACACAGTGAATTATTATATCCTTGTTGTCTGCCTACATTAAACAAGGATGAAAAGACTCACTGTGTTACAGTGTCTAACTGTGTCCTTGCTGGAAAGCACCCAATACCTTGCAATTGTAGCCTTCATCTTCAGCGCACTAATAAAAATTATTACAAATTGGAATCATTACAGATTACATTTCACCGTATAATCCATCACATAGACTACTCTAGTAGTCAATCTCCATGCATATTATGTATTTTTAACTACTTTCCCATAACCAATTGGCACACTGAATGGTCTCAAAAGATTAAGACCTTTAATTGTAATAACAATTATTTAAAACATGAAAAATTTTTTTTTTAAACTTATGGGAAAAGATATGAAGAATAAACCTGGATCCTCATACAAACAATAGCGCTTTGACATCGAACTCTGATTGGTGGAAAGTCAGACGTGAGGGTAAAATTTACCCCCGTCATCCATTTTTCACCAATCAGTGTTCAAAGAGCCATTGTCCATATGAGAATCTGGGCTAACTTTAAAAGTACGCAGAAGAATGGAGAATTTTCTTAGGGGAATGCTGAATCAAATTATCGAATTGTTACAGTTCTATAAAAATCTCTGAATTGACTAACGGAATGGACTAACTTGGAGCGTCTTGTCTGCGTCAAGTGCAGGAGGCACAAAATTCATCCCAATTTTTCCAAGAGAAAGTTTGAACCTCTTGATTCACAGTGAATGACAGAACGCAACCATAATAGGATGTTTAATATTGAAACACTGTATTCCTGACAAAGGTCTAAGACAATATTTTCTTTGCCATTTTATCCGATGCTTAGTTTTTAAATTATAAGGAAAAAATAGTGAATTACAGAACAAGTACAGAAGATAAGCAGGGACAGCTCAATAAGTGACACGAGGGATGAGCTCGCTGCGAGCAGTTGCTTATTACACGCGTATTATACATATATGCAAAATGAGAGGGAGGAGAAGTAATTATTCAGAACACCCTCGTGACGCGTTTTTCCATAAAATAAAAAAATCTAACAGAAAGGAGTATCGTGATGTTGCTCTGTCCTGTAAACCGATATATAAATCATTGAAATTGATAACTATTCGAATTAGGAAAACTATTACAGCCATGAAAAAGATGTCTCTCTACTCTTGTCATGTGTGAAAAGTTGTACACTCGTGTAGAATTATTCGTAGGTTTTCAACTTGGCACGCAAAGCAAGATTTAATTTTAAAAAATTGTCTTTAGTTTTACGGAAGAAGTGGAACGAAAAACCTTCGTACATACATGTACTTAATGATTGCGGAAAATTTCGTATCTCTCCTCCCTCCCCGTGCCGGCACGGAGGGAAGGGGGGAGAGGAAATGGAGGACATCATAAAATATATATGTATGTATGTACATACATATATGTAAAATAAGAAGAGTTCTGAAGAACTTCGCTCGGATGCTTTTATCTTGTATATTTTTTAAAGCGTTGCCGACTTAGACGGTGCCTTGATAAACATCTAGTTGTCCCGCGAATTTGGACTGAATTTGGACTCATCTGTTCATCCTGAAGCGCGTCAATGCGGCGTTTCAACGTCGTAAACTCAAATGCTCATACGTTTGCATAACTTCGCCATTTTCGCGGACATTGCATCATCAACTTCGGGAAGCAGGAGCCTTTGTGCAACCGTTTTATGATTGTCTGTTGAGGTAGAATCATTCTCCTAAGCTAAAAGTATAATCCAATCAGAGCGAAGAAAACGTACAACGGTTACAAATTAAACGAAAAAATTCTGCTGAATGCAACCATTAATATAAGAATATATGTGCGAACGGTTACCTTCAGGGAACCGCTGCCTTCGCAAAACTAAAGTCAATTTTTTAAAATTAAATCACACTTTGCGTGCCAAATTGAAAACCCACCAACGATTCCACACGAGTGTATCTTTTCACACATAGGCGTTCGCTTTAACGTTTATAGCTGAGCATCAATTGTCCTTGTTTAATATTTAATAAACAACGAAGATGAAACGTTGAAAGTATTGTGAACGCCAAAGCGAACCCAGCTATAGCAAGAATAGAGAAGGGTCTTCTTAATGGCTATGATAGATCTCCTAACTTGAAGTCAACTTTAATGATTAATATCTCAAAGGTTTAAGAGGGCAGAGCGACTTTTTTTTCCAGGTTCTTTCGCTTCATATAAAAACGCGTCGAATCGAATTCCATCAAAGAGATAATTATTCTAAATAACTACCAGATTAGAATCTCAGAAATCGAAATCATAGAAGCGAGATGATCGACACGAAGGAGATTCTCACCTCGGTCTTCTCATCCTTCTCAGTTGCGATCTTCGCGGTGCTGTCTTCCTTAAGCATCCGCTCCTGTACATCTTGATCCAGATCCTCGCTATTCCGTTTGCCCATGATGACTGATGACAGCTGTTACTCTTTTTGTTAATACTGCGCAGTGCCACACTTAGCTGCGCTGATCGTCACTGAACTGATCAGTGATCGTTACTGATCGTTTCTATCTTTTTGCTCCTTTGGCCAATGGCCTCGCCCTGCCCAGTCGGTCCAATCTCGCTGACGAAACTAACTCCCCCAGTGGTGATTTGGAATACTAATTATCGGTAGCTGGTCAAACTGGATCGAACCGTGCACAGTGTGTAGTGCCGTCATAGACTTCATATGGACTGGCGATATAAATATATAGGATCGATTTCGTACTTCTGTTTCTGTTTCTGAATCCGGAAGTGCAGCAGGGCTATTTTTTAATCTCATATAACCCACAATTTAAGAAATTTACAGTAAAATTGTGGGGATTTCACAAGCAACGCAAACAAATCTTATATTCTTAATTTAGAGATTTATTCTGTCAGCGAGTTGGCAACATTGTACATAACATATGTTGAACGGAATATTGTAGAGCACAGAGCTTTCCTTGTCCATCAAGTCAAATATATGCCAAATGATTCAAATGACCAGGCTAGAAATCAACGTCAAGCGACTTCTAACACGCTGCGAATTAATAGCGAAGGATGATCCACACCAAGACTGGAAGCTCGAAAAAGTGCGCGTTCTAAGAGCTAGTTCTTATTTCTACGTTTCTATCATGTTTTTATTTAATACACGTTACAGTTAAAATTTTATGATGAGTATAACTTCATACAATTGCTTAAAGTAACATCGAGATAATTTCATTAGATAATTATAATATTTATTATAGCTTATATATGTATGTTGAATTATTTTTATAACTGATTTCTTTTTAGAAAATATAGGAATTTATTATGTATAATCTATAATAGAACACACATAAAATTTACTACATGTATAATATTTATATTACACTATAAATACTTACGGATTATACAAGTTTTGTTTATATAAATTCTTTGTTTCAGTATATACTTTCTCTAGATGACATGATGAACAAACTGCAGACTTCACCAAAGTAATATAGTTTTAGTTATAAAATATAATATGTATTATTTATTATTAATACTTATGTACTAGAATATAGTATATACATAATGTGATCAGATGTTTCAAATAATTTCATCAGAACAGTCCAGCTTTTGGAATGCTTCCCCTGTCTCATTAAACATATTAAGTATCTCAATTTTAGCAAAAAGTAGCAAAAATATTTTATAAATTTTTTCAAATTATGAAATACAATATAAACCGCTTCCAAAAAATATATCAGCAGTTGAATGAGTTTTTTTTCTGAAATAAACGAAATGTGGATAACGAAAAAACTCAACTTTGAGTTTATATTTTAAAAGCAATATTAATAACAAGAATTAATTATTATTTCAGCTGAGAGAATTTTATATAGATATTTCTTGAGGATTTATTAATCTTGTTAAAGCAGATAATTGTAAATCATAATTACAAATAATTGCATTAGTTTTTAAAAATAAGTTGTTATTAATATATTTATTTTTATATCTATATATTTTTTCTTCCATTTTTTTGTTTAATAACATTTCCACTTTAGATTCAAAAATATCTGGTCACATTAAATATGCAGAATGTCTTCAAACTTGACAATAATTAATAGCAAACTCTTCTGTAGACGTAACGACAGTTATTAATATATATTAAACGAGCTGTTGAGCGATAATATTAATATTAAAAGTTATAAAATAAGATTATTTCGAAACGAAAATCCAAAATGTCAAAGTTATAATAATTTTTAAACAAGAAATGTTGTAAAGTTGATCATTGAAATTGTGCAAAATTCACATTCAGATGTGATACATCATTCAGTGAAGTTATTTCTAAATATCAGTCTTATTCTTGATACTGATGTAAGTCTTCTGCAAATGGTTCTTGTAACTGTTTTTTAATTTGATTATATTCATACACAAGTTATCAAGTAATGACGTTGAATATTTTAGTAATAACAACAAAATAAATCTCGAGTATCACTATTGAAAAAAGTGATACACATCGAACTGTCAAAGTTTTTCTTCCCTTTTAATTGACTTATGATTCCGATCGAACTGTCAAAGATATATCACATGTAAATGATAACTCACACCTTCACCGTACTATGTCTATACATTCGAATTTCTATAGTTGGACTTTATCTGTACTGACCTTCGTAAGAAGACAGGTGACATTTTTTAAAAATAATTTCAATGGTAAACATTTCTTATTTGAAAACTGAGCCTCAAAATTTGGATTTTCATTTTAAAATAACTTGGGGATTTTACTGTTAACTGCACTTGTGCAAAGTCTAAGAGAACCTGTACATTTTAAAAATTATCTCTATTATTATATTCCCAATATTAAAAATATTTGTGTATCATTAAAAAGTTGAATTTATAGTAAACCATCCAAGGATACTATGATGGGTTACATTAAGCGGATAAATTTTCTAAAAGGAGTCATAAACGCAATGAAGTTGTCAAATCCAGTGGAGAGAGTGGTTGCCGCACAATTGTTATCAAAAAATTCAGTGTCCACTAACAATTCCGCCAGTACAAATATTACAACGCAAATACATCAGAAGACTGTCGCTAAATACAATCGAGAATTACGGGAGGAATTATTTCATAATAACAGAGGTAACTTATATACATTTCATGCTGGACCAATTTTAAATGACTTGACTACACTATGTAGCTCATCGATGATCCACGGCATTTTTATGTTATATTTGTTAATCTTCCGTGAACCAGGAAAATCATATGTGAATATATCTCATGCCCCATGCTGTACTTTATTATAAATATACTATAATATGATTAGTAACAACGCACTCTTCAGTTGCATGAAACTGGCAACAAGCGCGCGGTACTTTTTAAAAAGTTATAGAAATTTATCTTGCTGGGATATATCACATCCCACCTGGTTCGCGGAGGGTTAAATAACATGTATTTCATTAAAAAAATTACAAAAATTATTATAAAAAAGAAGGCCTAATATACCAATATGCATCATATACCACAATTATATATCTATTATATAAAAAAAATTATTTTATAACTATGTTCTTTCTGTTTATAATTAAAATATCAAACAAGGGTACAATCAGATTTCCACCCGAGTGTCACTCAAGTGTTATTTTATCCTTGTTTATAACATTCAGTGAATAATGATAAGAATGATATATAGATGACACTTGTCAGATGAGAATCTGAACTGATAATTCAGCCTGAACAGAAAGTCTACCATCATTGATGATCCATGCAGTATAGAATGTGTTAATTATAAAACTAAAGATAGACTTTTACATATAATTCTCGACATTAAATCTCGTTATATGTTACAGAAGTAAATAAAGATGGTGTACGACAGAGATTATCGAGCTCTAATATCAAGGATGAAGATCTGGACGCTATTTTGAAATATAATCGTAATATTCAGGAGAAGATCGCTGAAAATATGCTCTCCATGACTAGCACTATGAAGGAACATGCATTAGCGGCTAGTGCTATCATAAAAAAGGATATTGGCACGCTGGAAATGTCTGACAAATTGACTGATGTAAATGCTATTAATTTAAAGAAAGAATCCCTAAAGTTAGAAGAGCACACGAACTCAAAATGGAGGTGTTGGGTATGGCTTATGATAGCTTTCGTTCTGATTGTATTTTTTAGTAAGTATTTCATATGTTAATTATACAAATGTTTTCTAGGGACAATGCGGCTGAAATTTCCTTATTTATTGCTCGAATTTCTAAATTTTATGATGTTATACTGTTGCCAGTAGGTTGCCAAAAGTATTAGTAGCTGAATTGTCATTTAAGTTGCATTAATATTTTTATGTATTTCAGACATGGTGTTATTTATGAAAGTGAGGAAAAAAATTTAGGTAATTTTCTGGCTTATCTGTATAGCGCCATAAGTGTGCTTGTAAAAACACCTGTGCTACCTAAAATCACTTGAAAATCTGGTAAATATATTACAAAATAGCGATACATCAATTTACAACTCCATCCAACATCATTATAATTTAGCTTGTTATGCACAATTTGATTATTATCATGTTTCAAGAAATATTTGGACATTATTTTGAAACATTCCTTGTTTCTAATGATTGTAAATGATGGAATTTAACTC